TCGGCAGAGCGCACACGCAATTCCTCATCTTTCTCTTCTTTATACTTCTGTTTTTTGTAGAAATAGATAATAGAAAATATATTAATAATGGAAAGAATAAAAAATGTGAACAACAAAATAAATTGTTAAAACAAAATTAAAATTTTGAAAAATAAACTAACTACTTAGGCAATGTAATCCAATATGGGCATCGCTATCTTCAAGATAGATTTTAAAAATATCAATTATATGATAAGCAGGAGAGTTATCGAAGATTAAATGCATACTATCAGCCTAGAGTTAACCGAAAACTTCGTTTCAGTAGCCTTATAAAAAATGTCCAGCAATATTAGCTAAGGCATTTTAATTTTTCGAAGGGACAATATTAACGAATAGGCAAAAATCTTTAGGTAAATAATTCTGACATCAATGAATAAAAGACTAAAAATTTACATCTTGAAATTTAAAAGAATGCCTCGAGTGGTACAAATGGGGTGGCAGGGGTCGAGTGAAATATGTGAACCAGGGAGAGGGCAGACGAATCTTAGGGGGCAAGAGAGAGACTGAGGTAAGACCTAGGGAAGGAGGACGACGTAACAATATGGCAAACTCCGATCAACATTCCCAACACAAGGATAAAGGGCGGTGAGAAGGCCAGCGTGGAGTGCAGAGGGTTCTCATGAAAGCCGCTCAAAAAGGCACACCCTACCACATCTAATTGAGCAAGTAAAAAAATTGTGACATTGGAGGCATGATAGAAGGATATAGGAAATATGCATAGACCAGGACAGAAGGGGGGATACCATAACTGTTTAGCACACGTTTGGTCAAAGAATCGGCTTCACTTGTCTCTTTGACAAGTTGTAATATGGTGCTACGAATGGCAAAACTCATTGACGATGCCAAATACGACGCCGGCGAAACGTCTGGGAATGTACCACGTCCACAGTCCGACTTTGGAAATAATGATGCATACAATGGACTCCGGAGAAGGTGCGTTCCTCTAAGTCTTCCTACCAATATTTCGTTGAAGTTTGATTCACACATTATAATTACAGGCCCTGTCTCTGATGAATTGGAGTTTGGCTATGAGAAAAGCAAGATTCAACAATGATGCTGTAGCGACTTATCCCCATACTTTTCCCATTCAATATTTAGTTTTTGTTACATCTCATACGTAGCCATGCCTCACCATCCTTTGGCACAGAGATCACGTGAGTGCGTAACTAATCGTGACTCTAGTTCGCATCGGATAATTAAAGCTTGGCAGCGCAACGTCCAATCAGAAGTTGACATGGAATACTACGCAAGGGTATATCCAGTTGCTAACATCCTGTTCAAATTGGTCACGTTCTTTTCCTTCTCTTCCTCCGCTCCGCCGCCGCCAGCGGGGTTCAGATTGTTCTGTTCGGCGCCATCTATAAATGATAGTCTTTCTATTGTCAGCTCCCACACGCTGTATTTCGGTCGTTTCAGAATAGGACAATTGGTAATACTATTT